AACTTCCTTAAAATTATGGTATGTGTTTAAAATTTTACTTTTGTCAAGTATGTGTGTGTGCAAGGACAGCCTTGTAGGATCAAATGGCCTCATTGTCCATTTGCTTTATGTTGTTTTTCATTTATGTAAAGCTACAGCACTAACATCAGAGCATTGTCTTGATGACTTATCTGGCACTGTGTTGAGTAACTTTAGTCACACTGTTAGTGAGTTTCCATCTATGTAAAACATATTAACAAAGTTATGTTGACCCAAATGCATTACCTTGCTCTTAATATAATTGAAGGTCATTTGCTAAATATTTGTCCAACTTACTAATTGATCCAAGTCATTCTGTAGTACTTCAACATCATCAGTAGAGCTAGAAATACCCATGAATTTAATGTCATCAGCAAACTGTTATTTACTAATTTTGCTCTTTACAATATTATGGGGTATTCAAACTGAATAAAATGTGGAAAGAGTAACTTTACCAGAAAAAATATTGAACTTGTCAAGTTAAAGTAAAATTCTATTTTATATTACTAAAGAATAGGAAATTAAGTAATATATAAATAAAAATGGTAGCATAAGAGTAACTATCTGGCACAATGACCAGTATGAACAAGTTAAAGCTCAGCCACTGTGATAGCAATGCCTGTTGGTTTAAAGAATTTTAAAGACTTCCAAGTAAAACTCTCAATCTGATTATTGTGTTTATAAATATTGCAATTGAAGTACATCATGAAATATTATAATTTAGTATTGTTTTAATGTTTCCCATGGTTATAGAGCTTTATAATTTTTTTTTTACTTCCTTTGTTTTGATATGCATAAACATATCTTTTTTTAAACATTTTATAATTTCAGCTGCCTCTGAAGAAAACATGTTTATACGATTTTCATGTTGCCAAGGGAGGTAAAATGGTGCCCTTTGCTGGGTTTGAAATGCCAGTGCAGTATGGCAACCACAGCATATCTGCATCTCACGTTCATACACGAGAACATGTTAGTTTATTTGATGTGTCACATATGCTACAAACAAAGCTTTTTGGAAAAGATAGAGAGAAATTTATGGAAAGTTTAGTTGTTGGTGATATTCAAGGTAAGTT